ACATATATGTAAGTTTGTGTGTGCATATGAGTGTATAGATATATGCATGTATATACACATATGTTTATATGTGTTATATGTAATTTTAGAAAAATATCATATAACATGATTCTTTAGAGTTTTTTCAAACATCCTTAGTGTTATTTGTCCCTTCTCCCTCCTTGTTCTTCTAAACTGGCCTACTTCTCCCTCTTCTCTTTTCTCATTTCCTCTTGAGTTAGATATTCAATAATTCAATATGCATTTACAAAAACATGTATTGCTCAACTTTGGATATGATAATGGGTAAGTCATGTATAAATTAAATGTCTTAACCATTCAACATTACCTTTGTGATATGTTCTTTTGTAACACTGCAAATGTCATCGTATGGTGGATTCTATTTGTGTATCCCAAAGGGATTACACAGAACAGCAGGAAGAAGGACTCTGAGAAGACTGTGTCCTCAACTGTTGTATGTGTTGGCCAGCAGGGTTGACTTCTGGCCCTGATCAAGTGATTTCCTTGGGTCAACAAGTGCCACCTTCCCAGGAAGTCTCATCATCCTGTGGAAGACATATCTACACACCGACTGATATTTATTGTGACGTATTATAGTTTTAAAAATGTCTTCTCTCATCATAGATGAGAAAAATATCAATATGGCATGGTTTACTCATTCAGGAATGTATTTCTTAATGAACGTATGAGCTATGCTTACATGGTTTCATTAAACAGCCAGCTGATTGGAGCTTATCTATCTACAAAGTAGCATTTGTTTTCTTCAGTGAACTTAATGTTCTTCCTGACATTTTAAAAACTAATACAAAAGAGAGCTTAAAGCCTTAAAAGTTAAGATCAAAGATTAACAAACAATTTACAAAATGCACAAAACCATGGGTCTTTATTTTCTTTAAATAGTTAAAAGCAATCATCTATGCACTAAACAATACAGAAAAAGAAATACCATTTGTACTGTGGTTATCTCTACAGATTTGCAAACTGAGGGAAAGTGATAGAAGGTGATTTAGTGATATAGGCGCTGAAGCCTATCTTGTTTCTTGAATCACTTATCCACCATCAAGAGAAAAGACTTATTTCTGAGTCTGCTTAATGAGCATAATGTGAGGGATTAAAAAACTGTAAATATGAAAATTATTTCTTCATCATTTAGATTATATATTTAAGCCAATACATGAAATTGCTCTGACTCACTGTAACTCAATGGTTCATAATGAGCAAAATAAGAAATGTGATGAAACTATGGAAGAAACTCTACTGCATATTTATATATTAAGAAAAATGCTATTATTCTCAGATTATACATATTAGATTGCCAGGGTGGACATGTCTTAGCTGCTGAGTAACAGAATTGTGAAATAATTTCTGTCATTTAATTACCTATTTTATTTTGTAGCTAGATTGTCTTTTGTTGCAATTATGTCCCAGTATATCAAATATTTATTGTAATGCCACAGAATCTCTGTTTAAATATATTTATTAAATGTACAATAATTGATTAAGAGAAAAAAGCAATTTGAATTTTTAACAACTATCAAATGCAATGGTATAATGTAGAAAAAGTTTAGAGAGCATGACCTAAAACACAGACATGAATAATAAGCTCTGGTGTCTTATGGCATACAAAGGGATCACCATGATGGCTTGCTATAGGTATTAAAATAACTAGGAGATACAAACTACAAGTTGAAAGCATGAAGTCATAATAATAAAGAAAAAATTGCTAACTACCTTGAATTTATTATCTCACATTGTACACATGAATTGAGTTATCATGCATTATCCCATAGACCTGTAAATCTAGAAGACATTTTAAAGGGGTTGTCTGGAACATTAACCATTTTGATTGGAGTAAACTAGACTTCACCTAAATGCATATTGTTTTCTAGATTTTTGATATTTCATGTCTAGATTTATTCCCTTCATTACAGATTTTTTACTGAATTATGATCTCTCAACAATCACATGTACTCAATTACAAGTTTTATTATGACACTAATGGATATATATATATATATATATACACACATACACACACACACACACACACACACACACACACACACACATATGTTGTGTAGAAAGTGAATCAGTTTACCAGTTTAACTTTCTAACCAAAAAGTAAGCTGTACGCTGTAGATTCTCTGGGGTATACAATTAGGAAACACCGGTTATTAAAAATTAACATTTGCTATAATATATGTCAATGAAGAAAAGGTCACAAAAATAGTGAGAAATGAGGAAACAAAATTGACAAACAACAACCAAATTGAAAAACTTGTGTCACTTCATGTGTGTTATTTCATGAACCACAGCATCCAAATATATCATAGCATATTTAATGATCATAAAGTATTAAATTTAAGAAAATTCATAAAGCAAGAATCTATAGCCAGATGTTTGCCTTTTAAGCTATTTTCATCCACCACTCGTGGGAATTTCTCACAGAACCTGTTAGTCTCTATTAGTTAGCAAAATCAACTTATTCTCTTGTAATTCACAGATGTACAGAGTACTTTTACTCAGGTAAAAAAGAAAAAAAGCATTTAACACAGAAAAAGAAAGGCTTTGAAAATACTTGCTACATAGTAATGGATGATATGTACTCTATCATCTTATCACAAGTAAACTAAACAGTATTTCCCCACATATACATCAAAGTGGGAATCATTAAAAATATTTCAGCAATTTTCATGAGAACTGAAATCTCAAGCTTGTGCCAATTTTCACACCATAAAGCAGCCTTCAAGGTGAGGATGGAGACTGTTCTGATCATGCTCTTGCCACATTCTTCCATAGAAAGCTGGAGGCAGAGACAGCATATCTGACGGTAATGCAATTCAGGAATGTTACTTACTTACTTAGAGATCATATTTCACTTGTATATCTATTTTTATTTATTTGTTTGTTTATTTGTTTGTTTGTTTGTTTTTGACTGGACAAGCTTTCTCTTTGTGTAGCTCTGTTTGCCCTGGAACTTGCTTTGTAGACCTGGCTGGACTAAAATTCACAGAGATTCACCTGCCTCTGCCTCCCCAGTGCTTGGATTATAGGTGTGGGCCATCACCACTCATCTCTTACTTGTATATTTGAAAATGACACATGAGGAGGTGATGAAAAATACTTAAGCAACCTGTGAGCCTTTAATTCCTTATGGTCAAGTCCACCCTGACCTTTAAAAATTGTCTTATAACAGTGTCTAATACGTAAGCCTATTATTAAATACATGTAAAACGTGTTGAATATATTCTCTTCTCTGGTGTAACTTTTTCACACGAATCAGTGAATTTACAGATAAATAAGAAAATGAGAACAGGTTATTGAGTTATGCATGACGTATTATAATGTATATGACAACATGATCCTCCAGAAATGCCTCTCAGTGCTATGTATGCACTATTTGTGATTACTGAATTTATTCTTGCTTATTTATCAAAAAAGTTTTCGTAACATCATTGCCTAGGAAACTTGCTGTTAGTCTATTCTGCTTCATTTTTCTGTTCTCAAAACAAGATAAGAAATCACAAAACCTTGTGTGGATTCTCACACTCAAATGATAACAATTGGATATGTTGCTCAATATTGGATTCAACTTCATTCGACCAGAAAATGAAAGCTAATACTAGGGACCTTAAAATTACAGTAGGGCTCTGAGGTTCTTTGACAATATTCTCTGTGAAGCACTATCATATTGAATTTACAAAGGTAAAGGACACCATTATTTTCTAAATCAATATGGTCCAACAATTAATCAGAGATGTTTTAGATTTCTGTGTAGACATCTTGAATTCTCTAGAGATCATGAAAAGTATAATCTAACACTTGTTCTCAAAGGAATTATTTTTTAAAATTATGCATATATATGTATATATTTGCTTCTGTGTAGAGGTATCTGCATGTGAATAAAGTGTTCAGGGAGACTATAAGGTGTCAAGTCCCTGGAGCTGGAGTTACAAGCAGTAGTGAGACAAATGACATGGGTGGAAGTGAACTCAATGTTGTCTGTAAGAGCATAAGTTACTCTTAACCACTGAGTCGTCTCTGCAGGCCCCTTAAAAGAGAGAAATACAGTTCTGGTTAGATGAAAGTGACTTGGTTAGGAGCATCCACTGACAAACATATAGATAATTTTTAACACTAGATTAGTAATAAAGAGCTATTGAAATTCTCCAATAATTTGTTTCTGATAGCCATATACAGAGTCACCACATGATGTTAAAATTTCAGTTAGATGACATCTATGAAATCTACCATGACAGATCTTGTGCAATACCTTGTTAACCAAGATATGCTTGCACAACCAGATTGTGTCAAAGCAAGAAATAGGTAGAGTACATATACACAGTTTCGACTCTTCTCTGTCACCACCTTTCTTCTTCCAGCAGAACAAACACTTCATTCTGCTTGGACATCAGCAATACATAGCATTCTTTTATTTGAAGATGAATCTCCTGATGCTAGTGCATTTATAACTAACTCATCAGTAGTAAAATGTTATAGTTGGTGATTGCACATCTGGACTGTTGTCAGTCTCTACTGATAATTTTATTGAATACATTTATTTTTATTTAATCTCTAAATCTAAGTATACATGATTTAAATAGCTTATTTTCAACTTGGAAATGCTTTTTTACAGAGATGTGGGAATGAATTTCTTTATTCTAAAATCAGAAATAATATCTGTGATTTTCCAAAGTAGTTACATTAGAGGTATCATTACTAGAACTACTATTTAGGAGTGCAGGAATTTTTCTGTGCACTAATGCAAATATTATTAGACTATGGATGAGAAGGTAGCCTTGCTAATGATTTTAAATTTTCCAACTCAACATTATAGATCTGAACTTGAAATAAATGTGTTATTGGTGATGATCAGAATATATAACTGGTCCATAAAATACATTAAAGACAAGCAGAAAACAAAACATTTCATTTTTCTTATCATAGGTGAATATACTCAGGTAGCTTGTAGGTTCTTTAGTTGTAGAAATTGTGTGGAATTCTTATATGACAAAGCAGTTTCCTTGATAGATATTTGTGTTTGTGGCAGACAGGAAATGATTCTGGAGAATATTAGGATATTATGATTCTACTTAATATCATATAAAAGGGAATTAGATGACTTTGCAGAAGATTGTAATCCCAAAGGATATTTATTCATTTTTTTCTTCATGAGTTTAAATGATGTACTCGACTAGTCAATATCTGAACATACAGAGCCAATCTGGCCAAATTTCAGATGCTGGATTAAAAGCAGTCAAAGTCCCGATAAGTATCAATCCCTAGAGCTATTTGATAATAGATTTTTTTGTCCTAAATCTCAATCCTTGAGGTGAGACAGCTCATTTTAGAAAAGACAGAGTTGCATAAGTGAGTGTCAGAAATTTCTTGTATTGTAGAGCAGGTACAGCTCAGAATTCCAGTGCCACTGCTTAGCAAATTCAAGGATGCATGGGTATTTATTCTTGGTAAAAATAGAAATAATACTTCTTGGCAATTTACAGGGCTGTTGTTCTTACAGGGTATTTGTCCAGATTGTTTCCATAATGACTTCTAGCTGTTCTGTAGTATTTATGTTCTGTGCTAACTGCTTCATAGCTCAGATAAACATGACAAAGCAACCTGAGTGAACACTGTATATGACACTGGAATTTAGAAACTATTACAATAGATACTCAGGAGAATGTGACTAGCTATCATGTGATTCTTTCAGTAGTGCACTCACCCCAGGCACCTCTGCTGGAGTTTGATTGACATATTTTTGTCTACATAATATTCTAAATCACCACAGCCTTTTGCTCTCAAACTGAAGGCTGTGACGCCACACACCCAGTACTTAGATTTCAGTTGTGTTCCCCAAATTCTTATGACCTGTCAGTATTAAATCTCTAACACTGATATTATTTATGTGTAAAGTGGGATATTAAGTCACAGTATTTATCTTCTAGGTTTTCATGAATTTTAAATGAAGCCCAGAGAGAGTCACATCACAACTGACACCAAACATAGTCTATGTTATTTTGTGTGTCTAAACTGGGGCAAAGGGTGTTTTGGAACGTTTCATGAAAATTACCTATTTATGCATTGCATCCATCTATATATATATATGCCTTTATTAATTGTAGAGAAAGACAAACTTCTTTCTTGTTAGGAGAAATCATTAAAATCCAGCTGTAGATGCTGGCAGTTTGTCTCAGTAGAAAATGCACTTGCTATGCAAACATGGGTGCCAGAGTTTAAAACACCAGAATCCAAGTAAAAGCCATGTGGGTGTGGCTGCATGCTAATAACTTCAGTGCAGGCAGAAGGTAGAGAAGGAGATTAGTCAGAGCAAGCTGTGCAGACAGACTAACTAAAATGATGAGTTCAGAGCTCCCTCACAGATCCTGTCTCAACTTATAAGGTCGGGAGCAACTGGGAACTCCTAACGTCTGCCTCAGGTCTCCACATGCATATATATATGTATATATGTATATATATATATATATATATATATATATATATATAGAGAGAGAGAGAGAGAGAGAGAGAGACATACATACCAGCACACAATGAAGTGTGTGTGTGTGAGCATGTGTGTGTGTGTGTTTTACTTAATACCCTTAATAAGAGAATATGTTCCAAATTATTTAAATGGTTTCCCAGTTGTTGGACATGACATTAATTTATCATATGTTTACTATTATATAAAATATCATGATGAAGTTTTAAGATTTTAAAGGTTCAGTCTTGGTATTATGGACCAGACTTTGAGAATAAATATATTAAAACACTGGACAAATAAGCCAATTTATGGACATTGATGTAAAAATATGACAGAGTTGTGTGTGGTAATGTACAGGTATATCTCAGCACTTGAGATTCTGAGGCAAAGTTGTAAGTTTGAAGTTAGACTCAGGTACATAGTGAAATCTTGTCTCAAAATGAAAAGAAAAACTTTTAATGAATGAATAACAAACAATCATCCTATAATAGAGTAGGCAGAGCTTAAAATATCGAGCAAGGGTTAATCATCTCATAGTCTTGCCCTGCCATGATAATGGTTGGGTGATTTTGCTACTCTTGAAAGGATAAAGAAGAATTCCTAAATTTCTAGACTTTGAAGAGAGGACCTCCATGGATTAGAGTGTGACAGGAAAGGAGACACTAATCACCCAGAGCATTTGTAGGTGCAGGGTGTCAGGGCCTTCACTAAGGCGTTTTGATTTATTCCTTATTGTACCAGTTGGCAGCAGGCTTCTTAAGTTGATTTTCATATCATTTTGATGATATAAATAGTATGTCCTCCTTGATATATTGCTAGTAAATCTAGGAAACAGATCTCATTACTTCCCCCAACCTCTGCGTTACAAAGAACTCCTTGTGCTAAACATTTAAATGAAGATCTTTTTTCTCTTCTTTGTTTTCTAGACATGATGTTATTTCCATTGTTGCTTCTGGCTGCTGTATTACCTCCATCCCTTCTTCAAGTATTTGTTAAAGTATTGGTAAGGTTTACTATCTCCTCAGAACAAATTAGGCAACCATGAAGGCAAGGAAGCTATCATATCACTCTTCCAAACTGTAAAAGGTAAAAGGTCAGACTCTGGAGTAAGTCACTTTGATCCTCAACAATACACACACACACACACACACACACACACACACACACACGCACACGCACACGCACACACACACGCACACACACACACACACACCTCCAGTGACTTACATCCACATGTAACTCACACTCTAGGGAATCTGATATTCTCTTAAGGCTTCCACTGGCAATGCACTCATCTACAGAAACCTGTACTTGAACTCAAACATATACACTTAATAAACATCTGGGGATATTACTTTACATTAAAATAAAATGTGAGGATTTTCAAGCAAGGACTTTAACATGTATATCCTTTCTGCCTCAGAAATCACTAGCTGTGAGAGATTTCTTTGCACAAGGCTTTCAAGGTGCCTTCCGAACATAAAACATTAGGAAGAGATGGACATGTCATAGCCACTGGCAATGCAGTGTGATTAGATCCATGGGTGCAACATCTGCAAAGTCTTGAGGGAAGTAAGACTTCAGGAAAGAGAAACAACTGATCCCTGCACTGAGATAAAATGTATGTGAGGGTCAGTCCATCAATAGTTATGCTGTAACATCTTGCTCTACACTATAAAACAGCACATTTTGGAGTATGTTTATATCAGCCAGTGGCTCTTATATCTCTGCCAACTCACATAATACCACTCCATCCACCTGTGCCACATAAATGAATTTAAATATCAGTATCTGAGTTAACTTAGTAGGCTTATTGCAGTCCATTGAAATGTAAAGTCAGTAATGCTCATTTATTTTTAAGAACCCATTGTCTCAAAATTGACTTGTATATCCTATTAGATAAACCTGTTTTTGGAGTGATCAAAAAAACCTGTTACATATAAAATTCTCTAATGCATACATGTATTGGCTAAGGGCCTACACATTATTTCACAAGCTTTCAAAATCCTGGTTTTGAATTAGAGGCTATTGCCTCTTAAGGTCAATAGTAAATTATACTTCTTCATCCTTAGCAATTCCTTGCTACAGCCTGAGTGTGAATGACTTAAGATTTTCTACTTTGCATGGCTATTATTATAGATCTCTCTTAAATCAAAATTGACATTTTTAGCCTCAGAAGAATTTTTATTTTTACATGTCATAAATTCATTCTGTTCTCAAAATTTTTATTTAAGGTGTTTTTAATAAAAAGGCATAGATTTTCTTAAATTTATTATCAAGACTTAATGACCAAGATTGGCCTGAATACTTTAAAAATGACTTTCATTCACCTCAGACAACATATTCACCTTTAATGCAACCTTAATATACACTAACATGACTTGAATTTTATTTCTATTCAGGATATGAATTTTGAGGATTTGATAACCTCTAAAGAGTCAGTCCAAGAAGAGATTGTAAACAAGCACAACCAACTGAGAAGAATGGTTTCTCCACCTGGTAGTGACTTACTAAAGATGGTGAGGGCTCACAACAGGACAGTGCATTTGGAGAGCTGTGTTTGGAGCCTGTGGATAGCCTCTGGCTTCTCCTGTGTACTTTAAGAGGCTCTGCCTCTATTTTACCTTCTATTTAAAAAATCAAAAACAGAAGGAATCATTGTTTTGTTTATGTGCACGTGTGTTAGTGTGTGTCCATATACTATGGCATTCACATAGAGATCAGAGTTGGTTCTCTACCTCTGTGGCTTTAGCTGTGCAATGATCAGAGTAGAATTCATTAAATTTCTTTTATAACAGTGACTCATTGGTATTATGGAGCTATGTCAATTATAGTGACTGAAATAAAACCAATTTTTTTAACTCTGTTCGCCAGTGAAAAACCACTATGGTATTTTGGCTCACTATTTTTTCCTAAGGTCAGAACATTTCTGCTTTAAGTCCAGTGACCTTTCATCTAAATAGTCTACTTTCTGGATCCAGAACCAAAGTCCATGTGTCTCTTAAATTCATTCAATGAGGGAAAAAAGAAGCTAGGATTTATGAGGCAACTTCTTACAG